GTAGACAATGCCAAAAAATGCAGTAATCCAAACAAAGAGGACGGGTTCTGAACACTTTTCACAGTATTTTATGGGCATATGTTGCTACGATAACCTCTTCAAATAGCCTAATGCCAAGGTATTTGAAGCAGGACTGTAAGAGGAAGAACTGTCAAGAAGACACAGGAGAGGGAAGGTCAGAGGAATGGGGGGGAGGAAATGGGCCCCTTGATCCTCGAGTCAGCTCTAAGTTTTGGTGATAAGCAGGGTTGGAGTTCTAAATCTATTTACCATAGACTAGTGTTGCACCCCCAGCAATGTCACAGGCATGTCCTCTCCACATCCATTTCATCCTTTAATCTATTTTGGAGCGTAGAGATTAGCATTATTATGTCACCCTGTGGAATTTGGTAATCTCTTAACATCTGGTCATAAGAATCCCGGAAGACACAGTCAAACTGATCTAACCGGGGCAGAGCAGGGCCCCTTTCTGCCCACTCCAAATGAAACCCCAGTGGCCACAAACTTTCACAGAAAAACCCAGGTATGTGGGATCAGGGATTGAGACTCCAGGCCACATGGTGGTGGTGGGGGGTGGGTGGGAGGGGATGGATCGTCCCTTCCTGTCTCCCGGCAGGCTTGGGGTCTGGGCCGGCAGGCTTGGGGTCTGGGCCGTCACACCCACGAATTGCCTCCAGGTACCACCTCAGGGCACCAAAGGCCTTGAACCAGAGACTACCAAATGAATGGACTAGTTCCCTACAGAGATGTCTTTGGACCCCAATTATTTACAATTTTAGAATTCCATGACTTCTCCTGATACTTATAATACGGAACAGAAAATAAAGTTTCTAGCATCTGTCTATGGCAGGCAGGCTTGAACGTTGGTGGGAAAACTTAAAATAATGATGGTGGGAAGGTGTAATGGTGGTGAGATTGGTATTAAAATATTGAATGTAATCAATTAATGTGAATAGTCTTATGAAAATAAAATTAAAAAATAAAGTTCATTTTTGCTTCTGGAAAAAAAAAAAAGAAGTTCTAAAACCAGATGTTCAGTGAAGAGAGCCACTTAATAGACCCAAGTAAGTACTAAGGTGGCGAGAGGAAAAAAGCAAAGTATGCATTGGAGGGGGTGCTGGTTCAGGCCTACTTTAAGATATTATGCAGTTTCCAGGGTAGCAAGGCACTGTGCAAACTACAGTCAGTCACAGACATGGCTAGTGCTGACGCACAGAGGGGGAGGGCTCCGAGGTCCCCCAACAGTCCACTCTGGGGTCACTTCTGCCCATGCCTGGGCACCTTGTGGTGTCAAGAGAGCCAGCCTGGTGCTCTCACGCGCAAACCCTGTGCTCCAGCCCTCTGGGTCCCCACATACCCGTCATCAAGGCTACTGGCTCTCCCTTTCTCTCCAGATGGCGTGAGCTACCCTGGCCTTCTCCCACTTCCTCAGGGAGCCCACGTGACTCATAGGTTCTGCTTCGGCCTGTCCCACCAGAATGAAACTCACACAGCGGAGACTTATGAGTTGGACTCAGCGGAGATAGAAAGCACCCACAGCCTTGGTGAGGAGACCCTCTGAGAATGGCAGATTGTGGGGAAGGCGCTCCCAGCAGTGCTGCGCTCAAACTCGGCCTCCCACACCCAGCCTAGCTCCACCCACTGAGCTATCCCTCTGCAGAGCAGGAGGAAGGAGCACACAAAGGAGAGTTAATAGGCCAAGTGCCAAACCTGAAGTTTCCACTAATACTACTGGCTTCAGGCATTAAAGGATTAAAGACGCAGAGTGACAGCACAGCAGTAGAGCGTAGGGCTTTTGCCTTAAACCTGGCTGACCCAGGTTCGATTCCCAGCATTCCATATGGTTCCTGAGCACCGCCAGGGGTAATACCTGAGTGCAGAGCCAGGAGTAACAGCATCCCTGGGTGTGGCCCAAAAAGCCAAAAAACAAAAAGATTTAAAAAAAAAATACTGTTTTGACAGTCAAGGAACATAAAAGGAATTTTTTAACAATGGGAGTTTTTCAAGGAAAAGAACTAAGAAACCTCCAGAAAAAGGCTGTTCCTTGGGAGGGATGGGGGTGGGAGGGATATTATCCATGGTGGTGGAAAATGGGCACTGGTGGAGGGATGGGTATTTGATCATTGTATAATCGAAACCCAAGCACAAAAAATTGTAAATCTACAACTGTACCTCATGGTGTTTAAAAAAAATTTTTTTTTAAAAATTGGGAAAAAAAAATGAATACAGACTTGGGGGAATCAAGAGATAGTACAGTGAATAGGGACTATCTCTGCACGTGACTAATCCAGGTTTGATTCCTGGAACCCAAATAATCCCCAGAGCACTGCCAAAAATGATGCCTTAGCACTGAGACAGGAGTAAGTCTGCAGCACTGCCAGGAGTAGCCCAAAAACATACACAAGCATGCGCACACACACACACACACATATACACACACACAAACACACTTGGGAGTATATCACATTTCTACTATGCTCTATTCATTATGAACTCCCAAGTTAGTGTTATATGGAGTCATACTGCACAATATTATGCATACTGTGAATACTGGAAGACAATGATCATTTTCTGTCACATGGCAAAGTATTGGATCTGGATTGCAAATATTCTAAGAATGTCATTTTTAGCTGAAATAAAATTATTAATATTCATTGATCTTATTCCCTACTTTTATTACACATTTAAAAAAAAAGGCTGTTCGTTAGTGAGAACATAAAGCATACCCCAGTGGATGCAAAACTTTCTAGAGAAGAAATACAATTTTCAAAATGTATGTTATGACAACGCCTAAAATGAAAAGTGGGGGAGGAGGAGGAGGACGTGGAGGAGAAGAAGAAGAAAAAGAAAAGTTTCTGCCACAGAGGCAGGCGGGGGAGCGGGTGATAGGAAACTTGGGTACATTGGTGGCAGGAAATGTCCACTGGTGAAGGGATGGGTGTTGGAACACTGTATGACTGAGACCCTACCAGGGACAACTTTGTAACTACCTCATGGTGATTCAATGAAAACATTCCGACTAATTACCTTAACGCATGTTATGGTTCCCAGAGACGGCCCAGTGGGTGGGGCAGCTGAACACTCCAGGAAGCCGCCAGAGGGGACAGAGAGAACCCGGCCTCTGCAGCACCAAACCCCAACAGCAACAAAGGGAGGGAAGAAAAATATTTATGGGGAAAAAATCTTAAATATCAATATAGTGCTTCATTTACAAAGCTTTCGGGTTTAAGTCTTAGTCATACAATGAAACTCCAGTCCCTTCACCAGTGCCCATCTTCCACCACCAAAAACCCCAGGATACCCCCAGTATACCCCCCATCCCACACCCTCCCCCTACCTGTGGGGCAGATGATTTCCACTTTACTCTCTCTGTACTTTGATTACATTCAATATTTTGACATCCGACCCACCATTATTATTTGAGATTTTACCCCAAATCTCAGATCTCCTGAAAAGGAAACAATAGACAATTTTTTTTCTATTTCTGGTTATGTATATATGATGTCGTGCGGCTGCAGTAGTGGTCAGGCAATTTTGGAATTCCGAAATTTTAACAATTAAATCTAGAGGGATTTCTGTCAAAACCTGCTGCGTTCTGAGATTTGTTCCTGAGTCTCTTGGATCATGGCCGGCCGTTTAAGCAGCTTGATCAGGAGACAGAGAGGCCGTTCATGGGCGGCAACTCGGGGTCTCAATGGGGCAGGGAGGAAAGGGCCGGCTCTACCCCATCCTCTGAGGCCCCATATGTCTCGTCACTGCGGGGCCCAAACCTGACTGTTCAATGGTCTCTGGAGGATGGCAGCCATCAAGCCGCCAAGGGGGAGCAGGCGGAGGGACAGCACCCTTTCCCTGCTGGGGTGACCTGGTGACAGTACCTACTGCAGGGTCTGGACACATTCCTGCCAAAAGTCACTGGGTTTCAGGATTTGTTTCTGAGTCTCTGGGATCATAGCCATTGAGCAGCTTGATCAGGAGTCAGAGAGGCTGTTCATGGCTGGCAATTCGGGGTCTCATTGGGGTGGGGAAGAAAGGGCCAGCTCCACCCCCATCCCGTGAGGCCCCGTGTGTCTCATCATTGCGGGCCCAAACCTGACTGTCCCTCATTTTTACTTTTAAGCCAAAGCAGTGGTGCTCAGGGGGTAGGGCAGTGCGGGCGGAAGGGAGCCAGGCAAGGCACGTGCTCCCGCCCTCTGAGAATCTCCTTGGCCCTGAATTTCTTAAATGTAAGTTGTAAGCAGAGGGCTAACCGGGATGGTGCATTCAAAACCATAACTAGAAAGAGGACAGAAAGTAATTTGTTCAACATTCCTAAAGAAGAAAAGAACGGCTAGTGTCAACTCCAGATTCCTCCTACTTTATTTGGGAATAATGAAGATTTCCTGTTGTAAAACAAAGTAGCAATTTGTTCACTTACACAATGAAAAGCTAATTTTATAGATCTTTAAAAAACTTCTAATAGAGTCAGGGAGACAGTACAACAGGTAGGACGCTTGCCTGGCACTTGGCAGACCAGAGTTCGATCCCAGCACCAAACTGGGTCCCCTGAGCTCCACCAGGAGCGACTCCTGAATGCAGGGCCAGGAGTGGCCCTTCTGTATCGCTGGGTATGGCCCGAAACACAAACACAAAGACAACCAAAACAGGGGCCCTGTGGGTTTGCAATCCGGAATGCTGGGCTGAGAGGCTGCCTGGAGGAGGGCGTCTCCCACCTACCCGCCAGGGCCTCTCAAGCTCTCTGCCCACTGCGCTGCAGTAAAGGCGCCTCAAGGGAGTAATAACCAGAAGGAGAAAGAAAGGAACAAAAACGAGAACCAATAATCTCAGAGGCATGACATTTCTGTTTGTCTAAGAAAGACAGCCTCTATGCAGCTGTCTCAGCTCAATGACTGACTCTGTGTTTCCCAGGAATGTGGGAGCCAGCGGAAGCACTCCTGGTAGTACTCAGGCCTACAGTGCTCAGGACCAGCAGGAGCACTCCGGGCGTGCCCAGTCATCCTTACCTGAATCTCAACCTGCCGCTCCCGCTTGACGTTGAGAAGCTGCTTTTGAAGAGATTTTATCTGCTTTCTTCCTTTCTCCTCCCTAAAAAGAGAGAGAGGAAATTGTGTAGAGAAGTATTTATCAGACTTGTGCAAAGTTGTTAAAAAAAAAAAAGATTTTCCAGGACCAGAGTGATAGCACATCGGGTAGGGCATTTGCCTTGCACGAGGCCAACCTGAGTTTGATCCCCGCATCCCATATGGACCCCAAACACCACCTGGAGTAAGTTCTGAATGCAGAGCCAGGAGTATCACTGAGTGTGGCCCAAAAAACAATAGATAAATTAATTAAATAAAAATTAAAAAATAAGATTCCTGAAGCAAGAGGATGGGGGGATGAAGAGGAGGCCTAGACGACACAGGCAGGTGCAACAAATAGACACTGACTAACTTTGTGTGTTAATATCCTGAATATTAACACGACTTTAGCCAGGATGCCTGGCTCCTTAATTTTAATTTAATTTTAAAAATGATTAACACACTAACCCCCCCCCAAAAAAACCATAAATATTAAAATTATTGTAACCATGTTACCTAAACTACAATGATTTTTTAAATAATAAAATAGAGGATCCTGATGGGCCGGGGAGATGACTCAAAGAGCTGGAGCACCTGGCGTACATGTGTACCTGGGCTCCATCCACTCACTGTCAGGAGTGATCTGTGCCCATACTCACACAGGAGCAGGGAGCCCCCGAGCACCACACGATGGTCCCCAAACCAAGACACACACACACACACACACACACACACACACACACACACACAAGCAATCCTCTTCATCCTGTGTACAAAGACACTCCCCTATCCCACCCCCCCAACTCCCTACACACACACACATACACACACACACACACACACACACACACACACACACACACCTGACCCCAGCAATGAGGAGCAGTAGGAAGCTAGAGCAGGTCCCTTGGGGGAGCCAGGACACTTTCAAGAAGATGCATTTGCACTTTTGGCTCTCAGCCTCCGTGAAGGCCTCACCTAACCTTTTCGGACTGCAGGCCGGGCCTCTGCACCCCTCCCACTCTCCCTCCCTCCAGCAGCCCTGCAGCATCAGAAGTGAAAGTCCTTCACTGTTTCACCTCACAGGGTCTTCCCTGACAAAATCTTGGCAGGAATCATCTCTCATTTACCTTCCAAAGGACACAGGTGCACATATGTGCTTGGTCACATGGCTCATATGCAAGTGGGTCTACTAGGAGCCCAAGAATGCAGTTCTTGTTCACGTTATTGGTTCTTACTCGGTTCTCAGAAACAGAACTCTGCTTCTCTCCAATAATTCCAAGTCTTAAACAAAATAGTGAAACACTACAAGAGCCCAGTCCTGTCAACCCAATAAAGGCTCTGCTGGTTTAAGTGCCAGTAGCAATAAGAGCAGCATCAGATGACAGAATGCTGGCATCCAAAACAAGAACTCAAGTGCCACCAAAGATCCGGGCAACAGAGATTCACTCACTGGCGGTAGGAATCTAAAGTGGTAGAGAAAGTTTGAAATATAGTTTGGCAATTCCTTATAAAAATAAACGAACTTGGAGCCAGAGCAATAGCACAGCAGATGGGAGGTTGCTTTGCACGTGGCTGGCCCGGGTTCGATCCCAGCATCCCTTATAGCCCCCAGTCCCTCCAGCTGTAGCCCCTGAGCACTGCTGAATGTAGGCACCACCCCTCGCCCAGAAAACACTAAATCAAGCTTTGCTGTAGCCATCCAGCAATTGTGTTTCTAGAGACCTGATACGGGCGTTCAGAGCTCTATTCATAATCGCCGAGGCTTGGGAGCAATCCTGCCGTCTTTCAGAAAAATAATGGCATGTCCAGGCATTGCTGCTAATAAAATTAAGACTGGGGCAAGGGGACTAGCACAGAGAGCCTGGGCACCTGCTGGGCATCTGAAGCCCAGGTCTGAAGCTGGCATCGTTATGGTGATCCCCGAGCAACTGGCAGGCTGCGGCCCAAAACAAACAAATGTAAAATAAACCAAAAGGGAGAATCTTAAATGCATACTAAAGACAAGAAAAGCCCAAAAGGCAATAGATTGTACTAGTGTGGCTACATTACATTTTGAAAAGTCAAATTGTGGAGACAGCGAAAAAATCAGGGCTTGCACTGGGAGGTCCAGAGGCGGAGCTCAGAGAAAAGGGGGGTTTGGTGCTGGACCGCAGGGCACACAGCAGCCATGTAGGCCCAAGTCGAGGAATATCTAACAGAATGGACCCTAATGTAGACTAAGAATTCAGGCGACACTGTGCCAGGTCTGGAGAGAGGACTGGGCGAGAGCATGCTGGGGTTTGGGGCCAGCCCAGCACCACGTGGCCTCCCAGCCACCAGGAGCGACCCTCCAAGCACAGACTTGGGAGCAGACAGGAATGACATGGGTATAGGCCCCAAGTCTCCTCCGTACCCCCAAAGGAAGAATATACCTGCTATATTGAAGATCTGGGTAATTGAGGTCCAGAAATGTTAGCCCTAACCCAACAGAACTAGACCTAGAACCCAAATGTCTGATTTCTAGTTATTGTCACCTGAAAGCACAAAGCTGATTTAGAGGGAGTTCTGGGAAGAGTTTCATAGAACTTAAAAATATAACAAAGCAAAATCAACCGAATATTTATCCAACCTTGCAATTAAATCATAAAAATGTGTCTTGTTTTCCTTCTCTTTGCTCAATGCATTCAGGAGACTGGTGAATTGACCTGAATCATTTAACTCCTGCATGGTGTCATAAACCACATCACTGAAAAATTGCCTACAAGGAAGGAGAAACAAAAAGTGAGTCAATGAGCTACTAACCCACATTCACAGAAGACTGCAGAAATTGTAGAGACTAGCAGGAACAGTAAAACTAGAAAATATTTCTGGAATTAAGAATAGTTATATATTAGGAAAAGCCATTAGTATAATACTAATTAAACCAATCAAAGCAAATACAATTAATAAAGACACAAGTAGAAAAACTTTATTGGTGGGGCCAAAGCAACCTCTCAATGGGCTAACTGTAGGCTTTGCATGCAGAAGGCCAAGCTTGATCCCAGCACCCTAAACACCGTCAGATGCAACCCCAAGAATTGCCTGGTTCCCAAACCAAATATAATCCTCTAAACTATATGGTCATCACAAAAGATAGGGCGGGGCCGGATCGATAGTCTAGAGTAGACTGCTTGACAACAGTCAACCCGTGTTCAATCTCCTATGGTCCCCTGAGCACCAACAGAAGTAATTCCTGAGTGCAGAGACAGGAGAAACCCCTGAGCACCACCAGGTGTGGCCCAAAGAGGAAAAAAAGAACAAAAGATGGAGAAAAGGCACTTGGCAAATTTCAGTACTCTTCATTTTTTTTTTTTTTTTTTTTTGCTTTTTGGGTCAAACCTGGCAATGCTCAAAGGTTACTCCTGGCTCTGCGCTCAGGAGTTAGTCCTGGTGGTACTCAGGGCACCATATGGGATGCTGGGAATCAAACCCAGGTCGGCCATGTGCAAGGTAAACACCCTACCCACTGTGCTATCTCTCCAGCCCCAGTACTCATCATTTTAAAACAAACAACAATGAAGCTTAAAACAAGACAAAAAAGAGAGGAGTCCAGGGGCTGGAGTGATAGCACAATGGGTAGGGCGTTTGCCTTGCACATGGCCAACCCAGGTTCGATTCCCAGCATCCCATATGGTCTTCCGAGCACCGCCAGGAGTAATTCCTGAGTGCATGAGCCAGGAGTAACTCTTGTGCATCGCCTGGTGTGATCCAAAAAAAAAAAAAAAAGAGAGAGAGGAGTCCAGAAGAAAAACTCTTAGCAAATTAGAAATAAAATTTGGGGGTAAAAGGATTATACTTCGTGGTGCTATTTCTTACTCAGTTCTCAGGGGACCATGAGGTGCCAGAGATCAAACTGGGCCGCCCAATGTGCTCTAGACTTTGATCTATCTCCCCACGTGAAATCCCCACACACTTCCCTCCCACTGGAAACCCTGTTAAAGACAGCAATGGCCCAGCTCCACAGCTGAACCTCATCAGGCTATTCCAGATGTGTAGCTCACAGACTCCAATTTTTTAAATTTTCTAAATGCGATACATACATACCTAATAAAATAGCACCATGTGCAAGAGAATAAGCAGCATCAAATTCACAACAGCACTTACCCTTCGGGAAGAGGGCACTACAATCAGAGGTGTCACCTATGTGTGTGAGACATATGTGCATATACCCACATATACACACAACATATTTTTCCTCTTCCCTCTGCCCACCTTATCCCGGTGCAGCTGGTATTGTGCTACATGTGGGCTGCACACTGGCTGTGGCGTCACCTGGTGTGGTGCTCGTTCAGGGCTGGATCCTTAGCTGTAGTGCCTGTATGTTCTTGGTCATGGTGCTGGAGAAAACAAAATCCTTGAGAGTGTGTGACTGGACTGACACCGTGGCCATGCCAGAAACAAGCCTTGGTCTCACGTGCAAGGCAGGCCCTCAGACTGACCACACTGTCAGCCCTGAAACAGAGTTTCAGAAATTCTCCCAGGGGACTGGAGGTTATATATACAGGTGGTAGGGAGCTATCCTCACATGCAGCCAACATGATCGAATCCTTGACACCCCACATGGTCCCCACAGCCCTGCCAAGAGTGAGCTCTGAGTGCAGAGCAAGGTGTGGCCCGAACCCCCCAAACACCACTGGGGCCAGAGAAAAGGGCTGTGCTCTTGTACTGGAGCAGGGGACCCAGGCACCCCAGACGGTGCATGGCAGGGAGTGGGGGGGCCTGCCCCCAAACAAAGCAAGTAAAATACCCACTCAACTGTATTAATCACAGAGATACACAATTATATCCACCTCTGATCAGGATATAGCACAGGAGTAAACATATACTCTGCATGTATGTGGCCTGCGATTTGATCCTTGGCTCCACAAAAACAAAACAAAACAAACAAGCAAAACTCCCTCAAGTACTTTTGGTAGAATCACAGTTGGTTATGCTTTTAGTTGCTCCCAGGGGAGCTTGGAGAAGCATGAGGTGTGGAGAGCAGCCCAGGACTCCTGCTGTGTTAATGTTTATGCTTTTGACATATCAACCTTCTATTCCTGGGGCTGGAGCAATAGCACAGCAGAGAGAGAACTTGCCTTGCATGAGGCCAAGTCAGGTTCTATACCCAGCATCCCATATGGTTTCCTGAGCACTGTCAGGAGTGATTCCTGAGTACAGAGTCAGGAGCAATCCCTGAGTATCACCAGGTGTGGCTCCCCAACAAACAAACAAAACCCCCCAAAATAGCAAAACTATAATATATAACAGCAGTATTATATCATACCACTAATATTATATAATATTACTACCATAGCACAGTGGGTAGGGCATTTGCCTTGCACGCAGCCAACATGGCTGACCCGAGTTCGATTCCTCCGCCCCCTCTCGGAGAGCCCGGCAAGCTACCGAGAGTATTCGATATGCCAGACACAGTAACAACAAAGTCTCCAATGGAGACGTTACTGGGCCCGCTCGAGCAAATTGATGATCAACGAGAGGGCCTTTACTTTAGGGCTGGAGCGATAGCACAGCGGGTAGGGTGTTCGCGTTACACGCGGCCAACATGGCCGACCCGAGTTCGATTCCTCCGCCCCTCTCGGAGAGCCCGGCAAGCTACCGAGTATTCGATATGCCAGACACAGTAACAACAAAGTCTCCAATGGAGACGTTACTGGGCCCGCTCGAGCAAATTGACGATCAACAGGAGGGCCTTTACCTTTACCTTACCATAGCACAGCGGGTAGGGCATTTGCCTTGCACGCAGCCAACATGGCCGACCCGAGTTTGATTCCTCCGCCCCTCTCGGAGAGCCCGGCAAGCTACCGAGAGTATCTCACCCACACAGCAGAGCCTGGCAAGCTCCCCGTGACGTATTCGATATGCCAGACAAGTAACAACAAGGTCTCCAATGGAGCCGTTACTGGGCCCGCTCGAGCAAATTGATGATCAACGGGAGGGTCTTTTAATATTATAAGAAAAGATCCCCGAACTTGTGGAGGAGCCAGTTGAAGTCAATCGTGTGTGTGTGTGTGTGTGTGTGTGTGTGTGTGTGTGTGCATGCAGACAACTGGCAGTATAAGTTAGTGGAATGTTCTGGAAGAAAGAATGGGCCATGGTTAGGAAAACCAGGTAAAATTGGCATGGGCTGTGTTTGGGTGTGCATGTGTTCATGTGTGTGTGTGGGGGGGGGTGGGTATGTGCAGACAATTGACATTATAAGCTAATGGCATGCTCTGGACAAAAGAATGGGGCATGGTTAGGAAGACCAGGTAAAACAGCGTGGGGTGTGTGTGTGTGTGTGTGTGTGTGTGTGTGTGTGTGTGTGTGAGTGTGTGTGTATTATTCCAGGTAGGCTAGGGGGATTGACCCTTTGAGAGGGCGGGACCTGTAGCAAGGAAAGGAGTAGCCCTTGACTTGTAAGTGGGTCCAAGCCCCAGGTGTTGAGGCCAATGGGGCTGGAGTAGAGGTGGGGCGGGGGAAGGGAGGGTGCAAGCTAGTTAGAATGTGACTTGGAAGAGGGATAGATGGACAGAGAAGGGACACTATGACAATGATAGAAGTATTGCAAAGCACAGCGCCTAAGAAGAATAAAGTGTCTACTCCAGAGGCGGGGCTTGAGTGATAGCACAGGGGGTAGGGCATTTGCCTTGCACGCGGCCGATCTGGGTTCGATTCCTCCATCCCTCTCGGAGAGCCCCGGCAAGCTTCCGAGAGTATCCCACCCACATGGCAGAGCCTGGCAAGCTCCCCATGGCATATTTGATATGCCAAAAACGGTAACAAGAAGTCTCACAATGGAGACGTTACTGGTGCCCGCTCGAGCAAATTGATGAACAATGGGTTGACAGTGCTACAGTGCAGTGCTACTACCATAATATGCTACTATTATATAATATATAATTCTATTATGTCACTTTCAGTTCATCTCTTCTCTCCCCTCTTCTCTTTCACTTCCAATAAGTAAGCTTTTTTTTTTTTTTTTTTTGCTTTTTGGGTCACACCCGGCGATGCACAGGAATTATTAGGAATTATTCCTGGCTCTGCACTTGGCTGTTCATTTCTTTACTGACGAAATGGCGTGTCAGATTTTGGAAGGGAGAACATTGGGAATGACATATCCATCCTGTGGAATTTGGTATGTGGGCAGGTGGAAATGGTTATCGAAGAGATCTGAGTAGAAGTCATGGATAATCTTCTCCATTGCCCTTCTGGAAGATGTGATAGATCCATCAGGACGTTGGAGGGCAGTCATCTTGGTCTTGTAGTTGGCGAAGGACAGGCGGACGTTACAAATGCTTTTCCCAGCTTCTGCCGCATCTACCAGCACTTCTACTCTTCTCTCTTTGAGGTCTTCCTTGTATTCTGCCCGCACGGCAGAGCCTTGCAAGCTATCCGCTGTGTATTCGATATGCCAAAACCAGTAATTACAATGGGTCCCCAATACCATAATGTTTTTTTTTCCATTATGACTTTTCAGCTCTTTATTTATTTTATTTTATTTTATTTTGCTTTTTGGGTCACACCCGGCGATGGTCAGGGGTTATTCCTGGCTCATGCACTCAGGAATTGCTCCTGGCGGTGCTCGGGGGATCATATGTGATGTTGGGAATCAAACCTGTGTTGGCCATGTTGGCTGCGTGCAAGGCAAATGCCCTACCCGCTGTGCTATCGCTCCAGCCCCACTTTTCAGCTCTTTAAAAAAAAAAATTCCACATTTTAGACACTGTGATTTACAGATTCATAATATAGTTGTTTCATGTATTCAATGTCCCACCACCAGTCTAGTTTTCCACCCCACAAGCCTGCCTCCTTAGCAGTCACAAAACAATTGACTTTATCCTGCTCATACAGCAAATGTTTCACGGTAGTGTTACTGACGCTGGGAATTTAATGGGCCGGGAGCCGAGTCTTCCATGCTATTATTTTTGCCCCATAAGCTTAGAGGGCTCTCTATGCAACTTTCCCATTAATCTGCTCTGCCTCGACTGGGCTGTCCATATGGGAAATTCGGAAATGATGCACAGCTGCCACATGCTCCAGAAGCTGTGGGACTGGCACGGTTCAGCAGTTGGCTTCTCTTCATAATTAGCTGTGGACCTGTGTTGTTCATATGACAGGCCAAGTCAGGTGTGGACCCACACACCTTCCACCAGGGTAGAGGCTGGGCCCGCCCCCATGAGGTTGGGCCTCTCTGGGACAACTCAGGGGCAGCATCTCTCTGACTACCATCTGTTTCTGTTATGACTGCTTTGAATACAGTTTGAAGTTATAGAGCTTCATCGATGATTCCATTATTCTTTTCTATAAAATCTGTTTTTTGACTGAGGCCTTTTGTGATTTCATGCAAACTTTTAGACTGCTATACTTTCCTCGAAAAATTGGAGACGGTTTTGGATTTATAGATTTCTTTAGATAAGATGACCATTTTAGTGATGTTTATTCTTCTAATATACAAACAGAGTCTTTTTTAAAAACATTATCGTTTAGGCACTGGAGAGGTAGTATAGTATAGGGCATTTGTCTTGCATATGGCCGACCTGGATTCAATCCCTGGCATCCCATATGGTCCCCAAGCATAAACAGGGATAATTCCTGAGTGCAGAGCCAGGAGTAATCACTGGGTATGACCCCAAAACAAAAACAAGCAAACAAAAATCATAAAAACATCTTCAATATAATGCCTTAAACTTTCTTTGTTTGGTCTCCACACAGCTATCTTACCTTTCTTCCTTTCTTCCTCCCTTCCTTCCTTTCTTTCTTTCTTTCTTTCTTTCTTTCTTTCTTTCTTTCTTTCTTCTCTTTTAAGTTGAATCACCATGAGATAGACCATTACAAAGCTATTTGTAATTGGGTTTCAGTCAATGTTCCAACATCCATCCTTCCACCAGGGTACATTTCCCACCAGGGTAGATTCCCCAGTTTTCCCCATTACCACACCTCAATCCCCGTTCCCCCCTGCCTCTATGGCAGGCAGCTCTCTCTCTGTCTCTCTTCTCTCCTTTTGTGCATAATGGTTTGCAATATAGGTGCTAAGAGGTCATCCTGTTTGTTCAGGGCATTCAGTATTTTTATCAGGAAGATACAGATGTAGTAGCTTTTTTTTTTTTTTAACTGAGTGGCAGCTTTGGTTTGTGGATATGACTGCCAGGATGTTTGGAGGTACAGAGAGGTGGGGGAAGGTAGTCCATCCTAACCCCGAGAAAGCCTGGAGATTTCAGTAAAAACCTGCATACCCAAACTTTCAGCAGAACAGTATATTATTGAGGTCTGTCTCAAGATAAAGTCATGGTGGAAATTTTGGATCATGGAAACAAGCAGCTACCAAGGGCTCTGCTTGGGCGGGCACCAGACAAACATGACCCCTCTGATCTACTCATCTATTCAGCCTTGCACGGGTCCGAGACTAATGGTGGCTTTTGATCTCTTTTGAGATTTATTTGTGGGTCTCTGGAGCAAGGCTGATAAATGTGCTTGCATGGCTGAGCCAGAGGTGGTTTGTGGGCATGGCTCCCACATACCTAATTTTTGGTGATTTAATCTCTTGGAAAACTTGGTCCTGAGTTGTTAGAGTTCGGCCAGAGGTGTCAGCCAATTCTGAGGTGTCAGCCTAAAGAAACCATCAGGCTGCTGCTGCCCTCGTCCCTCTTTGTCTAGGGTGACCCACCGATGACACTGCTCTGGGCCCAGAAGGTCACAGACTCACCACCTGACCCCAGGCCAGGGTTGGTCTGGAGAAGAAATGGGGGTGGGGACATCCTGCTGGCCTCCCAGGGCGGGAATGCAGGTGCCCGTCAGCTCCGGGACTGCGGGACCCCAAGAGCCCTATTCATTCACACTGAACCTCTGCCCCACGGGGCCGGGCCCACAGCACCAGAGCCCGCCCGGGCAATGCCACCAAGCATGAGTCCGAAACGTGGCTCCACTAGGGCCACTCTCTAGGAGGGGAAACAGTTAAAGGGCATGTGCAGTCACTGTCACAGAGATTTTACGCCCCTTGTCCTGCAGCTCAGAGCTCTCAGTGCCACAGCCGCCCCAGATTTTACCTTCCTTGATGCATTATAAATGGGTTGTCTTCTTGATTTCCTTTTCCTCGAACTCATTGTTTGTGTAAAGACATGCGAGGGTTTATGTATGTTGATTTTGTATACTGACACTTTACTAACGTCATTAAAAGTAGAAATTTTTGTGGAATTTTAAGGATTTTCTATGTATATTATAATATTGTCTGTAAATAATGATAGTTTTACTTATTTTTTCCAATTTGAATTCTTCTCAATTTGTCGTCTCTCTGTCTCTCTTTTTTTTTTCTGAATTGCCCTGGCAAGAAATGTTGAACATTATGAAATAGCCAAAGGAACCTAGCTACTCTGCATAGACTTGACTCTACGAGAAAGTTCTTTCAGAGTTCTACATAAAGAGTATCAGGATGTCTCAAGTAACAAATGCTATTGGTAGCTAAAGATTTATTTTCTTTAACCGGTTTGGACAATAATAATAATAGTCATATACTGAGTTAAATCAGAAAGGAAGAAGAAAAAGAAGGAAGGAAGGAAGGAAGGAAGGAAGGAAGGAAGGAAGGAAGGAAGGAAGGAAGGAGGGAGGGAGGGAGGGAGGGAGGGAGAGGAGGAAGGGAGGGAGAGGAGGAAGAAAGGAGGGAGGGAGGAGGGAGGGAGGAGGGATGGAAGGAAGGAAGGAAGGAAGGAAGGAAGGAAGGAAGGAAGGAAGGAGGAAAGGAAGGAAGGGAGGGAGGGAGGGAGGGAAGGAGGGAGGAAGGGAGGGAGGGAAGGGAGGGAAGGGAGGAGGGAAGGAGAGGGGAGGGAAGAAGAAAGGAGAAAAGGAAGGAAGGAGGGAAGGAGGGAGGGAAGGAAGGAGAAAAGGAAGGAGGGAAGGAAGAAGTGAAGGAAGGTGGGAGGGAAGGAAGGAGGGAGGGAAGGAAGGAAGGAAAGGAGGGAGGGAGGGAAGGAGGGAAGGAAGGAAATGGAACCGAGAGTATGCACAGGGGTTAAGGATCTTGCTGGCATGTGGCTGACCCTGGTTTGACCCCTGCAACACATATTGTTCCCTAAGCCCCACCAGGAGTGATCCCTGAGCACAGAACCAGGAGTTAAGACCTGAGCTTCCCACCGAAGGTAAACAAAGACTTCCTAGCTTGTCCCCAAGTATAGTGACCACACCTCCAACATTAGCACACTGCTTCCAGGCAGTCTTCACCCTGTTACTGGCCAGTCTACCAGGAGATGCTCTACAGGCTGAAGCAGAAGCTCTCAGTATGGGGGTCTCATGTCTGAACCTGGCAATGCAGAGCCTCTGAACACCACTGGGAATTACCCTGAGCACCAAGGCGGAAGTATGCACCCCACCTTCAAGCACGGGGCTAGCTGGGGCCCCTAAAAAGTAAACGGAACTGGTGAGATAATATAGGTGTAAAGCATTTGCCTCGCATCCTGCCAATACCAGTTTGATTCCCTCAGCACCACAGGCAGTCCCTCCAGAGAACAAGCCAGAAACAGCCCTTGAGCAACGCTGGGTGTGACTCAAAATCAAACAAACGAAAGCAAACACATTACTATTTAATCCTACTATCCTCTTCTACTAGCATAACCAGTCCTGTGTCAAGCAGTCAGCTACCATTCATGTATAAATATATATTGGGGCTGGAGAAAAAGACACACGGACTCTGCATGTGTTGGCCCAGGCTGGATCCCTGACGCCCCATCTGGTCCCGCCATCCTCAGCAGGAGTAAACCCTGAGCACAGCTGTGTATGGCCCAAACAAACAAACAGAAACACGCTATTCCATTTCTGAAGAGTGGACTCTTTCTCACCTGTCCATCTGAATTTTCTTCAGTGTCTCCATGGTCAGGATGGTCTGCCTTGTAGGTTTCTTGAAGACAAGGTCTTGCATTTTGCTCACCTCCTTGACTAACGGGAGTCCTGGTTTGGCTTCTAACAACTTGGGTTCTTCTTTAGTGATGAACGGAGTGGATAACTTGGAGGAATTTGTTCGTAGGGAAAGTTTTTCTGATGTTTTTCCTTCAAAAGCACTTTCTCTGTTTTTTCTCTGAAAACAATAAATGATGTTTTATGTAAAGATTTTCTTATAGAAGTTTAAGCATTACTGTAACTGTATATTTCACAGTGATTCGATAAAAAATAAAAATAAAGATCATCTTATAAAAAGTTTCAGTTATATATATTAATATATTCTTTTTCCAAAAATACTATTTTGGTACCCAAATATTTTGCAGGATTTTTTTTTAAATTGTTTTCTTTTTGAGTCACAGCCAGCAGTGCTCAGGGGTTGCTCCTGGCTCTGCACTCAGGAGTTATTCCTGGGGTGCTTGGGGGACCATATGGAATGCCAGGGATTAAACTTGGGTCAACCTCGTGCAAGGCATATACCCTACCTTCTGTGCTATCACTCTGGCCCCACATAATATCTTCTTATAATCAGTTTTAAAGAAACAATGTTTAATCTCAAATAAGGAATCACAACATCCATCTTTGTTTGCATATTTGTTTTGGTTTGGGGGGGCCATACCAGCAATGCTCAGGGCTTACAGAGAAGGGACAATGCCTTAGAAATCCTGGTTCACCTCAAATTCCTTTTGGAGCAAAATGGGAAATATAGCAACATTTATAGTCCCATTATTTAGGACAATGCCTAAGATATAGCATAGAATCAAATGCTGAAAAGAGAGACAGAGGTGCAGAGAGAGAGAGAGAGAGAGAGAGAGAGAGAGAGAGAGAAGAATCAAATGCTCATTGGGCAAATAAATTTTTTTTATTAAAAAAATTTTTAATAGTGAGACATCATGAGGTACAGTTGCAGACTTACACATTTTTGTGCTTGGGTTTCAATTATACAATGATCAAACACCCATCCCTCCACCAGTGCCCATTTCCCACCACCACGGATCCGGGTATCCCTCCCACCCCCCATTCCCCCCATCCCACCCTGCCTCTGTGGCAGGGCATTCCCTTTTGTTCTCTCTCTCTGATTGGGTGTTGTGGTTTGGGCAAATAAATTTTAATAGAATGGATAAAGAAAAAAATGCCAAAGAGCAGAAGTTGATAGTATATTTAGTAGAATGGCGTAAAATCTGTAGGTCATGCAAGAAAAAAAAACAGAATTTTTTTTCAGCCACTGGTGTGAATTTCTAGGGAACAGAAATCATAGAAATAGCAAAGCATATATCTTTTAATTGATGGTTTTATAGATCCTGAAACTAAACCTCCTTGTGTGAATCCTGGGTCTCTTACTAAACAGGACTGGCTTTAAGAACTAAAATCTCTTTGACTCCATTTCCCATTGGTAAACAGAGACAATTATAGGACCTAAAGTTATTATGAGGATTAAAGAAAAAGTGAAAAAAAGGTACTCCCTACAGGGGTAAACCTTGATTCAGCAATTCCCATTTATGGTAGAATTGATGACACATTAATATATGTTTCATCATTTCGTTCCATAGTTGTAATAAATGATTATAAAAGAAATAATATTGGCTAATCTTTAATCACAAAGTTATAAATAGGAAGTTGGAAGAAAAAAATCCATACATAAACAAAAATTTAAAATATACATGTGTTGGGGCTAGAGATTAGTACTTGCCTTACACACAGCTGACCTGGGATTGATCCCTGGCACCATAAATGGTCCCTCAATCTCCTGTTCAGGAGTGATCCCTGAATACAGAGCCAGGAGTAATCCCTAAGCACCACCAAGTGTGGCCCCAAAACCAAATAAAATCAAATAGACAGAGATGCACCGTGGAAGTGTGCTGGGCCCATAAAACCCATCTCCTGGGGGCAGGGTGGGATGGGGGGGATGGGGGGTGGGAGAGATACTGGGACCCCTGGTGGTGAAAAATGGGCACTGGTGGAGGGATGGGTACTTGATCATTGTATAATTGAAACCCAAGCACAAAAATTTGTAAGTCTGTAACTGTACCTCATGGTGTTTCTCTAAAATAAATAAATAAATAAATAAATAAATAAATAAAAAGCTCAGCACTGACCCTCTCTGCTGGAAAGGCTCAGTGACTGAATGACACAATACTACTGTGAGGATCAGGGAAGTGTAGCAAGTGATCACTCAGAACGGGCACTCATGCCAACCAACCCATGATTCCATCTAAGCTGTGAGAGTGAGAAAACTGTGAAATCTTCGAATCACTAATGGCCATGTCTAGTTGGTCCTTCTCATTACTATCACAGTGGTAAGATATCCTTTCTTCCTAAATGATGGTTGGATGAATTGGTCGGGATGGGAGATGTGTGCTGAAAGTAGATAAAGGACAAAACATGATAACCTCTTAGTATCTGCATTGCAAATCACAATGCCCAAAAGTCGAGAGTGTGGGGGGGAAACTGTCTGCCATGGAGGCAGTGGAAGGGTGGGAAAGGTGGGGGTATACTGGGGAGATTGGTGGTGTGGAATGTGCACTGGTGGAGGGATGGGTGTTTGATCATTGTGTGATTGTAACTCAGACATTAAAGCTTGTAACTATAAAAAAAAAAAATCCTCTGGGTCCAGGTAGCCACTCAGCTAGTGCACATGCGTGCACTGCATAGTTCTCCGAGCACTCTGAGTTCTCTGAGAGTGATCCTCAAGACCATGATGGCAGGAGTAATTCTGGCTCCAAAACACAGAAATAGAAACTGTATATCCATATACTGTGTCTTGTAGGACCATGGCACTGTAAACTCCACGGGTCAAATCAACTATGGTACTATAAAGTAAAAACAAAAAAAATTATCTTAGAGATTCATCATTTTAAAAAGGTAAAGAGTACTACAACAGCGGGTAGGACACTTGCCTTGCACATGGCCGACCTGAGTTTGATCCCCAACATCCCATATGGTCCCCTGAATACCACCAGGAGTAATTCCTGGGTACAGAGCCAGGAGGAACCCCTGAGCATTGCTGGGTGAAGACCAAAAGCTAAAGAAAACAAACAAAAAAAGATAAAGGACACTATGGATATAGAAAAAATTTTAAAACCTAATAAAAATCATGGTAATTTACGATATACTATGATTTACAATATACTATAAAAACAGAACCTCAACTAAAATAGATTTAATGGGTAAACATTGTTATAAGCCAGAATAGACAAGTTTAAGGGTTTTATTTATTTATTATTTTGGTTTGGGGACCAGACCCAATAGTGCTTAAAATTTATTCCTGGCTCTGTACTCAAGAATAACATTTAGTGTTTTCTGAGCAGAGCCAAGAGTAAGCCCTGAATACTGTCAGGTGTGGCCCCAAAACCAAACCAAACCAAAAAAATCAAAGAAACTACCAATAAAGCCATGCCGAAAGGGTGTATTGTAGGCCTTTTCCCACCCACCCTGTGTGATTAGTTTTTAGCAAGTGAACAGCGCAACTCTGAGATCTCTGATATACTCAGTATGTATATTTTTCTACATTTTCTTTAAGAACTTTTCCTTTTTAAAATTTTTAGTGAATCACTGTGAGATAGAGTGTTACAAAGCTGTTCGTGATTGAGTTTCAGTCACACAATGTTCCAACACCCGTCCCTCCACCAGTGTAATTTCCCAGCACCAGTGCCCCCGGTTTCCCTCACACCTCCCCAAACCACCCCCCACCCCAGCCTACCTCTATGGCAGGCACCTCTCTTCTCCCTCTCTCTCTTTCTCTTTCTCTCTCACTTTAGGCATTATGGTTTATGATACAGATGCTGAAAGGTTATCACGTATATCCCTTTACTGCTTTCAACACTCAGTTCTTGTCCAGGGTGATCATTTCCAACTAATGTTGTCGTATTGCACATTTCTCTATCTTAACTACCCTCCATATACCACACTCTTGTGGTAATTTCCAACCACTGACCAGTTCTCCTGCCCGTTTTCCTTGTTAAAGGCCTTTTTGAGTAACACCAATTTACCGCAAGAAAAGGATATTGTCACTGGTCTTTCCCCTCATCAGTTCAGTCAATAACTTGATAATTATTGTGGCCCTTCAGCATAGAGAAAGGTAAATAATCCAGATTTAATGGCATAGTTACTGTAAATGATGGGGAATTAAGAAAACAAAATGTGGGGCTAGAGAGAGAGAGTACGGGTAAGGTGCATTTAGCTGACCCAAGTTTGATCCTGGCACCACGTATCGGTCCCCACAAGCACCCCCAGGAGTGACCCCTGAGGAGAGAGCCAGGGAGTAAGTCCTGAGCATTGCCAGGTGTGGCTCATCCCTCCTCCCCCAAAGAAAGAAAAGAAAATGTTACAGGGAGTACATATATTCTCACCAAGAGGGCGCCTTGCCTCTCTTCGTAATAAACGGGCATGATGTAGTTCAGGATGGAGAGCTGGTCTGCCGTGTCCTCCAGAACAGTGCAGACCCTCAGCCGGTCCAGGAGGGACAGGGGTTCCGTGTCTCTGGGGGTGTCTTCTACCTCTGGCTTTTGGGCTGTGTTTTCACCTCCCTTGAGAGAGGGAAGTTTGTTGATCGTTTTCTCTGTGGTGCCAGGATGCCAAACTTCTGGAGAATGATGTTTATCCATTCAGGCACTATAGAAAGAGAAAAGAAAAATGTGTCATCCACCAAATATTGAAAGAAATTCTTAAGATGGCAAGCACAGGCATAGAGTCTCACAACAGAACCTGGGTGAGAAAACACAGCAGCAGTTCCTGGGGTGCTCTGATCAACCAAAGGAAGAAACTTACTGGGTTTTGTTTTTGTTTTGACGTTTTGGGTCACACCTGGCAATTTCTGGAGGTTACTCCAGACCCTGGCTACACTCTGGAGACCAAGCCCAGATGACTGTAGGCAAAGCCGGTCTTCTCCAGCCCAACTAGCTGGTGTTGATAGGCAGGGGGGCTTCTCCATGTGTGACCCCTTTGGGCCAGAAAAATGCACCATGGGTGAGCACTGCCAGAAACCCCTTGGGTTCCGCAGGTTGCTTTTGAGTTGATTTCTGCCACTTTCCTCAAGAGGCCTCTCACTGTTGTCCTTGGTGTTTCGCATCCAGTGACAGTGAGATGCTAGCAGTTTCCCCATCCAAAGTAAGTCCTGTAGATTTTACCTTCTAGTTCCATACATGTCAGACAAGTTCTTGCTTTTGTTTGAACACTCTATATCTCCACGCTGGCAGTCACCTTTCAAAATGTAAGATCAACTCTTCTAAATAAAATGGAAACCCATGGGCCGAGAGGCCACTTGCTGTCTGGAGGTTTGATATGGCACACCACCAGGTGGCACCAGGTCTCCAGGCTGAAACAACCATTCAGTGGTGCTGTCAGGCAGTGGTCAGTCAGGAGGGATTTCCCCCAATCCTCCCCCAAATAAATAATTTTTTAAAAATAATGCATTAAATAAAAAATAGTGAGATATATAAAATCTATTAAGATAAATAAAATGATTTATTAAAATAAATGATTTATTAAGTAAGTAAGTAAGTAAGTAAAGGCCCTCCCATTGATCATCGATTTGCTCGAGCGGGCCCAGTAACGTCTCCATTGGAGACTTTGTTGTTACTGTGTTTGGCATATCGAGACACTCTCGGTAGCTTGCCGGGCTCTCCGAGAGGGGCAGAGGAATCGAACTCGGGTCGGCCTTGTTGGCTGCGTGCAAGGCAAAAGCCCTACCACTGTGATAAATAAAAATAAGGGCCAGGGATACACGCTCAGCAGTCAGGGCTGATGCCCGGCTTGAGGGGCCCTTCCTGGAACCAGGCCCCCGCACGGCCCAACTGAGGCACTTGTCACCCAGTGCCCTTGCTGGCCCAGGGTCCAGGGTTCAGGGAGCTCACTCGCTCCCATGCTGAGCAGTACTCGGGAGACCCAAACCAAACCAAACAAACCAAAGGCACCTTCCTTGTAGGCAAGAGGAAGCGAGCTGTTTCTCCCGACCCCAGCACCAGCCCACATGCCTAAGCGCAGTCCCACTGGCACTGCCCTGTGACACCTGTGATGCCACGTAGAAGTGCGGCTCTGGTGCCCCCAGACCACAACTAAAGTCTGGACCCCTGGCACACCCAAACCTCGTGTGCATAACCTCTGCAACAATAGCAGAAAGGGAAAGAAAGGACTTAACAAAAAATGAAAACTTCTCTGGTGGCTGGGCTGGGAGAGGACTGAGAGGGCTGGAGGCCAGCTCCAACCCCCACCCCCCCACCTCACTCCCAGAGCGCACACACCTCCCGACACTGCCAGGTGGACCCCAAAACAAAAAATAAACGTTTTGGGGGGCAGGTGCTATGGCTCACACACTTTGCACATAGGAGGACCTGCATTGGATTTCTGACACTCATCCTTCTCCATCACTGGGATGGCACAGGGGATGCCTGAAGAGCTGCAAGTGGCTCACATGGCAGTTTAAAAAGATTTTTTTTGGGGGGGAGGCTGGAGCGATAGTACAGCAGGTAGGGCATTTGCCTTGCCTGCGGCTGAACCAGGTTCAATTCCCAGCATCCCATATGGTCCCCCGAGCACCGCCAGGAGTAATTCCTGAGTGCAAAGCCAGGAGTAATCTTTGTGCATTGCCAGGTGTGACCCAAAAAACAAAAAACAAAACAAACAAAAAAAATTTTTTGAACAACGAAAGGGGAGATAGCTGGGAGATAGCTCAAAGGGTAGAGGTAAGAGCAAGGCACTGAGTCTGATGCTGCACACGGCCTGGCTCCCAGAGCACTGTGGGGTCATTCTGGTGGTCCCCTGCCCAGTATCCCCGGATGTGACCCAGAGCAAACTTCAATTCGTAACTTGGACCATAGAACCCCATGACCAGGGGTCCAGGTGTTCCTCTCCAGACCCTCTTGCCCTTGAGATTCTTTGCATTTTCCCGTGGAATCAAACTCTTTTCCAAGTCAGGGTCTTGGCAGATGCTATTTCTTCAGCTTGAACATTTTTTTCCCCTTACCTTATCACCTGCACAGTCCTACTGATCCATCAGTAATAACTTCAGCAGCACATTTGCCTCTCCTCACTATTTTCTGTGCCTGAGAGACTGACATATGAAATGCATCGAGGGGAGAGTCCAGAAAGAACTCCAAAATGCAGAATTATGTCAGGATTCATTCTCTCAGCTCCTGCCCTGATAGATCACCTTAGCTGTATTCTCTCTAGAGGCCCTGCCCCAGATGATCTTCTCCATATGGCTCTCTGTGGAGGCAGGTGACAATTTTCCACAGAACAGCAGCTTGCATTACTCTGCTGTAAGGCAGTTTTATTCCTGATTACATCATTATATACCAGTAACAATGATGGGTCTCATTCTCCTAAAGAGCCTTGAATATAATCTCAGGGCTAGGATGAAAGAGACGTTACTGGGGCCTGCTCGAGGCAATCGACGAATAACAGGATGATTTGTGATTTGTGACATCATTATAAACTGTCCCCTTATTAAATCCTACTAACTCTTCCAACTGCTTCCTTCTAGACAAAATCGGATTTAACACAAACTCACTCCCTCTACATATACACACATTCACAAATAACTGAAACAAAGTTTCATATACAAACCTACCCTTAATATTTGCAATATTTTCAGACTACCTTCAATTCTAGCACGTTGCCTTAAAAGGTCTAACGATCATGAGCTCTTACTGGGCCACCACCCGTGTCTGTTCACACACTCACCGCACTCCCTTTCCCTAGAGAGTTCCTTCAGTTTTTGACATTCTCTCGGTTTCCCTCACCACAGGGCTGTTCGATTCAATGGCAACAGAGAACAGTGACAACAGTGCTCACTACTGTGTACAAGCTTCCAGGCATGGAGTTCAAGAAGTACAATGAAGGGCAAAGAAATAAAACTCACAGTTAAAAAAACTGCTCCTTATATATGGAATTCTGCAGACTCTTAAGTCGGCGAGGTTGGCGGTTCAGCGCTGGGTGTGAGGGTGTGTTGCCAGGAACGCGGGACACCGCCGTTGCTCTGGAAATCCAATTTTAAATGTGATTTATATCTACATCTCATAAACCTTTGGTCATTCTTTTTTTCTTTACGGGCCACACCCAGCAATGCTCAAAGCTTAATCCCGGTGGGGCTAGAAGTGACAGTATAGCGGATAGGGTATTTGCCTTCCCTGTGGCCAACCTGGGTCCAATACCCTGTATCCCATATAATTCCAGAGTGCAGAGTCAGGAGTAATCCCTGAGCATCACCAGGTGTCACCTAAAAAGCCAAAAAAAAAAAAAAAACCAAAAAGTTTACTCCTGGTAGGCTCAGGGTTTGAATCGGTGTCTACCAAGTGCAAGAAAAGCCTCCAACTGGTTGTATGATCTCTCCAGCCCCCAAATCAACTTTTGTCAGATTTTACATGTTTGTTGTCTTGCCACCTCTGCTGGGGTGTTAACTTCCTGAGAGCAGAGATTCAATCATATAGCTGTTGAATAAAAGACTGAATCTCTATGACATGAGATAGGAGATAGTACAGCCGGTGCGTGCTCCCGGTTGTGGTCCAGACAGAACTACTATAGGGCTACTCAGAGGAGCTGCATCTGGGAAGACAAGCATGAATCAATGAATCCATCTGGTCTCGTCCACAAGCTGTTCGCTAAATATCTACCACGTGGCCTCTGGCACAGCTCCCTGGGTTCAATACCCTGCGTGCCATAAAGGCCCCCAGCGCCAAGAGAATTCCTGAGCGCAGCTAGGAGTGACCGCTGAGCACTGCCAGGTGTGGCCAAAGCCAAAAAACAAAAACAAACCAAAAATCCTAAAAGGTGGGGGCACGCGCTGGCGCCCCAGCAGACTGGCAGCCGAATGAGTTCTGAACAAGGGCTGCCGGGTGGCTTCCTCACCCCCAGAGCAACCCTAAGGCTGGAGGGGGAAACAGCAATGCTTTCTTTCTTACAGGGTCAAAGAACAAAGGCCCTGACAAGCTGGGCTAGGCGCTAGGCGATCCAAGGGGGGGGACAAAAAGGGAGGGAGGAAGGAGGGAGGGAGGGAGGAAGGAAGAAGGAAGGAAGGAGGGAAGAAGGGGAGGGAGGAGGCAAGAAATGGGGGGTAGGGAGGGAGGGAAGGAAAGAGGGCGCGGGCAGCGGGGCGGGAGGGGCGGCGCGGGGGCGGGCTCGGCTTCCGCGCTCGGGGCAGCCCGGGTGCCTCGGCCCGGGTTCGAGCTCGCCGGGCTCCGCGGGCCGGCGACGGTCCTTTGGGCGTCTCTCGCGGCCGGCGGCCTCGGGGCCCCGCGGCGTTTCCAGGCGGCGCGCGGCCGTGAAGGACCCGCTGCTCCTTCGGCTGCACCGGTACCGACCTGCCAGCCCCCGGCCCGGCCGCCGCACGCCGCCGCCCGCGCAGCGACAGGCCCCGGGCCCAGCTCGGAGCGTCCGTAACCCGGGCGACCGCGCGGGGCGGGGCCGGGGCGGGCGGGGGCGGGGCCAGGGCCGGGCGGGGGCGGGGCCGGGGAGCTGCTCCCACAAGGCTTCGCGCGCGCCTGGCCGCTTCCTCTCCGCCATCTTCGCTCCTGCAGGTGAGAGCGACTCAGCCGGGGCTGAAATTGGGGCCCGGGTCTTCGGCGCAGGCTCGGCTCTGTGGCCCTGAGAGCGTCGCCGCGGCTCGGAGGGGCTGCGGGTCAGGGGCTGCCATGAGCTGCGGCGGCGGGGAGGGCGGGATGCGGGCGATGCGGGCGGATGGCGCGGCCGTCCCGGCCGGCGCGCGCGGAGACGGTGGCGTCTCCGTTCCGGCCGCTGCACGCGCGCGGCCGGGCGGCCGGGCGAGTGCTGGGCGCGGTGGGCCGTGCTCGTGGGGCGGCCGTGCCGGTCGCTAACGTGCGCTTTCCTCTTGCAGAGGTGTGGACTGGGCGGCGCGATGGCCGGCAGGTAGGTCTGGGGCCCCGTCCCGCGGCGCGTGGCCCTGAATCAAGGCTCGCAGCCCTCGCCGCTGCGGGCTTCAAGCAGGAGCCTAGAGGAAGCCTTTCTAGGTCTGTTGTCCATCTCCGCGTCCGCAGTGCGGTGGTCAATTCATTAGAAAGGAACACGCGGGCGGGGGGCGCCGCCGGGCCTGGGCGAGGCTGGGCGCGGCGCGGGTGACCGTGCGCGTGTGTCCAGGCTGTGGTCGAAGGCCATCTTCGCGGGCTACAAGCGCGGGCTGCGGAACCAGAGGGAGCACACGGCGCTGCTGAAAATCGAAGGCGTCTACGCGCGGGACGAGACCGAGTTCTACCTGGGCAAGAGGTGTGCCTACGTCTACAAGGCCAAGAAGTAAGTTCCCGACGAAGACCGAAGGCGTTTCAGCAGTGATCGGGCTGTCGCTGCTCTTCTGGGTCGCAATGGAATCTGGTGGGAGACCACTGGCTTGTCGCTTTGGGGAGATCTTGGATTTAGGTGTTTTAATATTGCGCTTGGAGAAATTAGCCGTGAATTGACAGCTGTATCTTTTTAAGGTTATCGTAGAAAGATTTTGTCCGTTCATGTGTTCCTTGCTCAAACTCTAGCTATTCCTCTTTGATGACGTGAAAGCTCAGCCCATTGAGGACTTCTGTTTCGACTCTGCACCCAGCTGGCATTTCACTCCTTTGTACTTCATTTCTGCAAGCCGGGGACACGACTGCACCCAGGCTTTGGGACCAGAGAGATTATGCAGTGGGTTAAGCACTTGCCATGCACACAGCTGACCCTGGTTTGATCTTGGCACTCCATATGGTCCCTACAGCACTTCAGGAGTCATTACTCGGTAGAGCCAGGAGTAACCCTGAGCGGGCCATCACTTTGTCCTTTGGTCCAAATCCAGTGACCATGTGGTGTGTGGGGATTGAACATGGGCCTCTTGCAGGCAGCCTTGCTTTCAGCGTTGTAACGAGTTCTTTGCCTCTTTTTTTGTTCTGTTTACTTGTTAGACTTTCTAAAATAAGATTCCTCGCTCTCCCTACAAGCGTCCTGTACTTCGCATCTTCCTTTACTTTTTTATATCTTAGCCCAAGACCTCTTCAGATATGCCCTCTAGCACTGATCTATATCCTTGGCCCAGTATCAGTTTTGACATGATTACTACCTGACATTAACTTTCTCAGTTATTCTCAATGGGATTTGTAAACTGTATTGCAGAATTGAAGGCGAAAACTTAGAAGTGTTTAATATTTGGCATGCCGTATATATGCAAGTATTTGTTGATCAAATGATACCCTAGACAGCACTTTGCAATCTTTTTCCTCCAATTTGTTCCTTCCTGTGACTGTCAGTTCATTACTGGTTGTCTCATCTCATGCTGTGGGCCCTAGTGCACCTGTTGCCCGTTTGAATATCCTGGGCCTCCTTAGAGGCAGAAGTCCTTAATGAACTGCACTTTTCACTTCATCCTTTCTTAACTCCTCCCCAATTAAGAAAACAGCCTTGGGTGGTAACTAGTTTACTGGGGTTGAGAGGCACTGGTCTCTAACCTTGAATTTGTCTACACCTGTTGCATTAATCCCCCCCTTTTTTTTTCTTTTTAAACTTTTGTAAAAATCAGCAACACAGTGACTCCTGGTGGCAAACCTAACAAAACCAGAGTGATCTGGGGAAAGGTGACCCGTGCCCATGGAAACAGTGGCATGGTTCGAGCTAAGTTCCGAAGTAACCTTCCTGCTAAGGCAATTGGTCACAGAATCCGTGTGGTAAGTATTAGTAACATGACATCTTCCTAGTTAAGCTCGGATCAGGGCTTGATTTATAAAATGATCGTTTCCATGAGAAGTCAGATACATAATGCTGAAACACTATTGCTGGGTTCTTTTTTTTTGGCCAGTGATAGGCACTTAACCTTCCACACAGCCCGCCCAGGGTCAGTCCTTGGCACTGCTGGGTGTAGCTACTTAAATAATACTGTAAAAGCAATGGGATGCTATGCAGCTGTTCAAGGAAAATGAAGTCATGGAATTTGCCTATAACTGGGTGGACATGGAGAGTATCGTGCTGAGTGAAGTGAATGAGGAGGAGAGGGACAGATATAAAATGATTACATTCATTTGTGGGATATAAAAAATACATAGTAGAAAACAGATATCCATGGCCAGGGAAAACTAGTTAGGAGAACTGGTCAGTGGTTGGAAATAACCACAAGTGTGTGTGGGGCTGGAGGTAGGTAAGTTAGAGGAGAGACTGGTATCACAATAGCTGGGAAGGATCGTGCTGGACAAGATTTGAGTGTTCAAAGTAGATAAAGGGATATTCTTGATAACCTGTAAGTATCAATATTGCAAACCACAATGTCCAAGAGGAGAAGGGAAGGGAGGGAGGAAAACTGCCTGTCTTGGGTGATGGGAGAGAACCTGGGGTGCTGGGAAATGTGCACTGGTGGAGGGATGGGTGTTGGGACACTGTCGCTGAAATCCAATCATGAATAGTGATTCAGTTAAAAATAGTTTAAAATAATACTTAATACTGTGAAAGTTAAGATGAGGCTGGAGAGAGCTCAGGCAGCTATGCATGAAAGTGGCGCTTGGGAACGGAGGTGGGTGCAGTCCTGGAGCTCTGCTGGGTGGTGGAGATAAGTCCAGTGGGAGTTTTAAGAGGTCGATGAGCCCCTGTCTATTCCCTCTCAGTCCGTGGGCAAGGCTGCCATGAGACCACAGTACAGGGAGGGCTTTCCTGCACAGTTGCAGTTCCTGGTATCCTATTAGGTCCCGTGAAACCTTGTAGGAGTGATTCCCGAGTATTGCTTGGGGCGACCTCTTCCCCCATCCCCCAACCCACCAAAGGCTGAGTTCAGTCCCTAGTACCTTATGGTTCCCTAAACTAAGTAGCCATTTCACTGCTTGCTGTGGTGAGAAGGGTTCAGGTTGACTCTTGTCTAGTTAAATGTTTTGCTATGAGGCTGGGATGGGGATGGGGTGGGGGTAAAAAAATTAAGTTTTCTGTAGAAGACAGTATTAGACGCAGGTCATTAGGGAATAAAAATCCAGTGCACCATTTCCTAGCATAATAATTGTGATTACAGCTATATTGTAGACATAGATGCATTAACCTTATTTTCTAGAAGAAAATTGCTGCTTATGTTTTGTGTGTGTGTGTCTCCCCGTCCGTCCCTGATTTTTGGGTAACATCTGGTGATGCTCAGAGCTTTACTCTGGGCTCTGCACTCAGGAATTACTCCTGGTGGGCTCCGGGGACTATATGGAATGCCAGGGATTGAACCCTGATCTGCCTCATGCAAGGCAGGCGATGCCTACCTGCTATACTACATGTCCAGTCCCAACTGCTTAGGTTTCTAAGTCAGGATTTCTGCCCAAATCTAGACAGCTATAGTCTCAGGGGAAAATGATTCTGTTGAATGCTACTGAGCAGTTTGCACCAGAGGAAGATTGCTGGCATTGAAAGCAAAATTCAGTTTTCTTTAAACTATTTCCTTGTGAAAACTTGTTTAAAAAAATATTTTCTACTTTGAAAATTGTTAGAAAAGAGAAGACTGTGATGGTCCTGCCCCACTAGAATAAAGATTGTTGGGCTGAGATGATGCTCTGTACGTGGACTTGGAGCACCACAGGGCCAGGAGCCGAGGAAGTTGGGGTTGGATGAAGTTGGCAGAGGAGTTACTTCACAGTGCGGGTTGTGTAGATACTACACTACATGATGTATACTATATATGTTTTTATGTGTTCTGTTTTCCAGATGCTGTACCCCTCAAGGATATAAACTTACCGAAAAGTAAATAAATACAGTCTAGATATTTTTCTCGTTTTGTTTTTTTTTCTTTTGGTCTTTAAAAATATCTGTTCTGAATCTCCTTTGTTAAAACACTAGTAGTTACAGAATTGCATGTAATAGTGAATAGAGATTTAATACTTTGATGCTAGCACTTGTCACAGGTGGGTCACACTTAACTGGCTTAGTTCACAAATAGCAGATGTGGCCTCAACATAAATAGTTTTTAATTTGGTGAAGCACAATACTTACATTGAAAGAGCTTACTCGGGGAAGTGTCAGAGGTGAAAGGAATATGAGCGAAAAATCAGGTTTCTTCAGAGTGGAAAAGAGAAAATACATATTAATGGGCTTTAGTACGTGGGCTTAAAAAGAGCACAGAAAATGCCTTGGAAGATACTTGATATATAAACGGCTGGGAAACTCACTTCAGTTTCTTTTGGTTTTTGAGTCATACATGCCTTGGAACAAAATGCTGGGATTGAACAAGGATCAGCTGGGTGCAAGGCAAGTGCTTTACCCATTATGCTATCTGGCCCTAAAGGTGTTCATTGGCAGTGGAGACTGTTGCAGTACCTGGTAGCTTGTTGATTTTAAATATTTTATTCTTTCAAATAGGGGTTAGAGTGCCATATGGAGAGTAATTAACAAACCTACAAAAATACTTGGAAAGGTCGTATGTTTTACAAAGTATTGGTGGGATCAATCATGGTTTGATCTATTGAACCATTTATTGGTCCCTCAAACCATGGCAGGAGACCCTCAACATCACTGAATGTGGCCCAACTAGCGCTACCCCAGAAATAGATATTATATGTAATTGTATATTTATATGTAATTGTATATGTAATTGTATATAATTGATATTATATGTTGTTGAGCATGATTTATAGAAGGGGCCAGATTAATTTAGAAGTCTAGTGGCGGGGCCGGAGCGATAGCACAGCCAATAAGGCATTTGCCTTGCACGCAGCCGACCTGGGTTCGATCCTCGGCATCCCATATGGTCCCCCAAGCACAGCCAGAAGTAATTCCTGAGTGCAGAGCCAGGAGTGAGCATTGCTGGGTGTGACCCAAAAGGCAAAAACAAGTCTAGTGGCAGCTATAAGTGAACTATATAAGTGAAGGGAAAACTTGGCAGGCTTTCAAATGAAAGATTTTGGGGCTGGTATGATAGTAACTTGTGTTATATATGGCCAACTTTGTAATGCAAGGCACCCATGGAATGCCCTGAGTATCACCAGAAGTAATCCCTGAGCGAAGAGCCAGGATTAAGTACTGAGGAGAACCACCGGCTGTGACTCCCCCCAAAACCAAATGTTAAAATGAACATTTTTGAGTAAAAGCAGATACTGTAAGTCTAGAGGTTTTTAAAAGCGGTTGATAACCAACCTGCTGTTCTGGAATCCCCGGGTTTTGATGCATTTGGCCCTGGCTGTGCCTCTGGACCACAAGGTCTCAGCACCACCAGGTGTAACCCCTGGGTTCGAAGCCAATAGCCATTTCCCCTTTCCCACCTAAAGATTGAGATGATTATTTTACAGTGACCCGTTGCTCATTTTGGCTAGAGGTAATAGTGCTTTTACAAAATTAGGGGACCAGGCTGACTGAACACATTCAGGAAGATAATTGTGTCTGGCTGAGGAATAGAAAACCACAGTGCCTGACGCTGCTAATGGAGTGTCAGTAGCTCAGCATCATTGCCAAATAAAGTGACACTTAGGTAAACAAATGGTGTGGGTAGTTGATAATGAGCAAAAGGAAGGAAAGGGTACAGAGATGACTTAGAGAAAGGTAAATAAGGTGGCAAAGGTTTGATCACTGCCAGTCTATGAGCCACAGTTGGCACAGGAAGAGTTTCGTGTTTTACAAAAAAAAAAGTGCTGGGGGAGTGCTGGGGCTAGAACCCAGGGCCTCACAAATGGGAAAGCAAGTCTACATCCTATTAGGTTCAGGATTTCTCAAACTTGATTCTGCATCGCCACGTATAAAAGCCAGATGTACAAATACCTAAGCATAAACATTTATCTAAAAATAAAACATTTACTGATTATTTTAGAATAATTTCCTCAGTCTCATATCCACAGGTTTTTGTTTTTGTTTTTCTGCTTTTTGGGTCACACTGGCTCATGCACTCAGGAATTACTCCTGGCAGGCTCTGGGGACCATATAGGATGCTGGGAATCAGACCTGGGTGGACTGTGTGGAAGATAAAGGCCCTACCTGCTGTGCTATTGCTCCAGCCCACAGATCCCATAGTTCAAGATTTGGACACTGACTGGTTGAAGAAACCACTGAGTCAGAGAGGGACAAAGAATGACTGCACTTGTTTGTGAAATATAAAATACCATAGTATGAGAATAACGGTTAACATCCAACTATGGCAAAGAAGAAATTGAGAAGTTTCAGATGTAGCAGTTATGTGTACCTAGGTCGAGAACTTAACATGATGAACGACCTGGCACTTATGCTGTGCAGGAGGAAGAGAGCAGCATGGAACGAACGCCTTCAAGAGTCGAAGTTATTAAGAGGATGAAGAACCTCTGGCTCTGGGCACATCTTTTCGACTCCACTGTTCTTCCTGCACGAACTATGCCTCAGAGACCTGGACCCTATGAAAATAGGAGAAGGAAAGAATCCAAAGAGCTATGCTTGAAGTATCACGTTACACTCAAGTGAGAGGAGGAATCTGGAGTTCTGACCTCTGTCAATGACTGAGAATCAGGGACGCTGTCTTGTTTGCCAAGACGTCGAAAATCAGATCGTCCAGACACGTAATGTGATTTGGAGACCACTGGACTAGAGCTGTTACCGACTGGGTTCCATGGGTTGTGAAAAGAACGCCTGGCCTCCCACCTATGAATTGGTCAAATTTCTTCCTCGAGACTATGAATGAACAGTTTGAGGCACCTCGTGTTCCTGGAGCGAGCAGATGCAACTGGGCTACATCAGCAGACGATAGGGACGAATGGAGATGTTACTGGCACCCCCTCAAGCAAATCAGTGAGCCAAAGGATGACAAGTGATACAAGTGAGACTAACACCTAAGAACTGTGGAGATAAGGGCCAGGGGGATCACTCTGCAGTTGGAAGCTTCCCTCAATTCTTAGGGGAGAAAGCAGTTAGGATGGAGAAGAGATCACCAAGTTCATGATGGTTGGAGGGATCGCTCGGGATAGACTTGTGCTGAAAGTAGACTAACGACCAAACATGATGGCCTCTCAGTATCAGTATTGCAAACTAGAGGCAGAGATTGGCATGGGGTGGAGGTGGCAGGAGGATATATTGGGGACATTGGTGGTGGAAAATGCTCACTAGTGCAGGAATGGGTGTTGGGTCATTGAAAATCACGATAGCTTTGTAACTCATGGTGATACAATAAAAAAAATTTTTTTAAAAAAGATCTGGATGTTGGGCTGGAGAGATAGCACAGCAGGTAGGGCGTTTGCCTTGCACGCGGCCGACCCGGGTTCGATTCCCAGCATCCCATATGGTCCCCTGAGCACCGCTAGGAGTAATTCCTGAGTGCAGAGCCAGGAATAACCCCTGTGCATCGCCAGGTGTGACCCAAAAAGAAAAAATCGGGATGCTAGGTCATTGTTAGCCTCCGTTTCATGAAACTACCATGAAATAGGAACTTAAAAGATGATTGGTTTCTATTCTTGCACGATATAGAGAGGGGTTTTTTTGGTGGTGGTTTTATAGAAAAAGTTATGTCCCCTAACTAAGGACTGTGGCTTGAATCTTAATCCCACTGCTTGGTATTAAAACACATTTGTAAAATATCATATATTTGAGAATATGATCCTGAACAATAATTTGTACAGTCTTAAGGATTTTTCAGTTTATTTCCTAACTGAAGTTTCTAAAACTTAAGTGTTCTATTCCCATTGAATGACTCAGTTTATTGCAATTTGTTCGTTTCCATTCTTTCATTAGGATGATTTGTCTCAATGTCCTACATCTTTAAAAATTTTGGCTTTGGGTGATTAGAGTACCCGGTGATACTCAGTGTCTACGCCATCCTCTGCAACCAGGCCTCACTTTTATTATTTTACTTTTTGGGCCACACCTGGCGATGCTCGGAGGTTACTCCTGGGGGTCCTCAGGAGACCATGCGTAGGGGGACTATATGTGGCGCCGCGCTCCAGCCAGGAACCCTTAAGCTCTCTCCTGCCGCTCAGTACTTAATCGTCAATAGTTTCTCACAGGCTGATAAATGTAAGTGGGCAAGGATCCACCCAGACTTTCGACGTTAGTATAGTTGCAACTTTTAATTTTTTTATTTATAAAGGCGCATCACTGCCTTTAATTTTTTGAAAGCAGTTACGTGGGCCTGGGCCAAATGAGAGGTGCTGCAGCCACTCTCGGCACGGCTTCCCTCATCAGAGGGGAGTTTGGCGGCCGCGACCGCCCAGGTCACGCACGCGGAAGTCGGGCGAGCGGGCCAACGCCTCCGCGTCCAGTCCGGTTCCCGCGCGTGTCCCCGCCCCCTGCCGGAAGCGGCGTGACGCCGGCCAATCAGGAGGCAGCTCGGCGGCGTCACGTCCTCATGGCAACGGCCCGCGCCCGAAGATGGCGGCCGCCGGGGCTGCGGAGGGCGCGGGCTGCTGGCTGCGGCGCGGCTCCCTGTGGGTGCGAGGCGTTCTGCTGCTGCTGGGCGGGCTCCGGGCGGCCGCACCCGTCCCCGTGTCCTTGAGCAGTTCCCCTCCCTGCCGGCATCACGTCCCGACGGGCTCCGAGGTAGGGCGGGCGCGGCGGGGCGGCCGGCCGGGCCCTGGGCGCGGGGGCAGCGCCGCGGGCTCCCGGGGCACGAGCTCGGCGCTGCTTTCACGGTGCTCCTCGCAGGGCCGGACCGTCGCCGGCGCCCGGGGTGCTGGAAGAGGCTCCGAGTGCTGCCGGGCAGCGGGGCCGCGTGACCCCCGGGTGCTGTCCACGCTCACACTGAGCCCGAGCCCAGCCCGCTCCCGGCTCTCGGTGCCCTCTCGTTCTCCAGGCCGGTGTTGCCTTTGTGCTCAAACGGCGCGGTTTTCCTCCTGATGCTCTTCGCGTCTCCGCCGTTGCGTTCTCCGAGGCGACGGGCAGAGCGGTGTCACGACTCCTTTCCTGGCCGGGGTGGGGGTCTCGGGCTCTCGGGCCCCTCGTCCCCGTGCGGGGGGCTGCGCCCGGAGTGACGGTGTGCAGAGCGAGGCTTTCGTTCCCGCGCCGTCGCTCAAGCCCCGTGTGTTTCCACAACAACATCTTTTATCAAGATTTTTATCTTTTAGCAAGTGATTTTTGTGATTTTTTTTGTTCGATCGAGAAATATGGGCCACCTTTTATTTATTTATTTATTGGTGATAAATTCCCCCAAAGTTCTCTGCTTACTGTTTATGACCGTGGACAGCGAAACATTAGGAGGTTTGGAGCCCGTGGATAACCCTGCTTTTTGGCAAATTTGTTCAGTCTGGTGGGGGGGGGGCACACCCAGGGTTGCGTCCTCGTAGGACATCTGTGGTCCTGGGGGTTCGGGGAGATGGACCCGTCGCCTGCGGGGCAAGTCGCGGCGACCGATTTATCTGGCCTCGGCCTCGGAGGTGAGCGCCGGCCGGGCCACGAGCGGCCCTGGGTGGGGTGTGAGATCCCCGCGGCCTGTCGCCTCGGCCCGGGAGCAGCTCTTGGCGGCCCGCGGTACGGACGAGCCTGGGGGGGCTGCCGTGCCGTGCACGCGCCGGCTCCCGGCGGGTCTACCGACTGGCCGCGCTGCGAGTGCTGCCGCCCGCGAGAGCGACGTGTGCAAACGAGGGTCGGGACTGCCAGGCGGAGCACACGGGCTTTCCACGGGCGTTCTGGGTGAGAAGCGCTGCTCTATGCAAATGCGGGCTGAAGTGTGACCAATCAGACCACACATGCAAATCAGTGCGTGTAATCGGATTTCCCGGAGTCCTGGCCCAGCCCCTCAACCCCCTGCTCTTTTTGGTTTTGGTTTTGGGGTCACACCTTCACACCCGGTATTGCTCAGAGACCGCTCCTGGCTCTGCTCTAGCCTCTTGCAAGGTAAGCCCCTCTCTCCCTCCCTCCCTCTAGTCCTCTGCTCACAACTGCTGGAAAGCTCCCTCTATTAGCAGAGTGTGCCTTGCGTGCTTTTCGAGTCATGGGGTGAAGGTCTGGTTTCTGAAGCTACTTCCTGCCGATAAAGGATGTTCATTTCTATTAGGGCACTTAAGGCATCCCTCCTTGTTCTCAGTCAGAGGGTGGCAGCGGAGGGCAAGTCTAACTTTGAAGCGTTGGTCAAGTAATTCAGGAAGAGCAGGAGAAACTGGGTTCAGCTTAGGGAATTTGTAGCATTGAAATCAGCTTTGCAAGAAGCATTCAAAGAGTTCCTTGGACAGGAGAAACCCCCGATTGTGTGGCGTTGAGTACGGCACCCAAAAATGGTGCAAATGGTTGTCCTCTACTAGAGCCAGAAAGGTTAAAAACATCTAGCAATTAGTCATCACAAAATGGCTTTTAGTTATCACAAAACGACTTTTATTGACTTATTTTCTGATAATTCTGTTTGCCGTTCCTTTAGGATTTACTGAACCAAGTCATACGAAATAAATTTGTTAATGGTTGCCTGGGAATGGTAGAGAACCCAGGACAATAGTAGGGGGATGGGGACATTGGTGGTAGGATTGGAATTGGAACATTGTATTCCTGACACAACTCTCTTATGAACAACTCTGTAAGCCAGATTTCTCAATAACATTTCTGAAAATAAAAAGACCATAGGGTTTTCATCAGGTTTCTGTTCAGTGCTGTCTTATTTTGTGTAGTTGAGAGGTTTAGCCCTATCTCTTATCAACTCTCCACTAGCAAGCCACGTACGCCAAAGCTTTTTGCCACTTTTCCTGTGAGAGTCCTTTCTTGGTCTGCTGGGGATACTGCTATAGCTCCTGTTGGGTTCATAAAATATTCATAAAAAATTCATAAAGAGTTCTCGGCCAGAGAGATAGTTTACAGCAGGCAGGGTATTTGCCTTACAGGAAGCTGACCCAGACTCTATCCTGACACCCCATATAGTCTTGCAGGCACTGCTTAGGAGTGACACCTGAATGCTGAGCCAGAGTAAACCTTGAGCACCACCAGGTTTGGCACAAAAAAAAAAGCAAATAAAAAACATAGCTAGTCTTGAAAACCTCTGCATTCTCTGGCACGGTAAACTTCAGATGGATGGGATACTCAAACTTGTGTGGACCTGAAGTTGTGGGTATTTGCCAAGAGTGAAGCCTGACATAGTAAAGCCTGTTTGTGAGATCTCAGGGCCAGAGAGATAATACAGCAGGTTGGGCACTTGCCTCAAGCGGCAGATTTGGCTTTGATCTATCAGGAGTGCTGCCTGGGTACAGAACCAGAAGACCTGGGCACTGCCAGTTGTGCCCCTGAAAAAAAATTTTAAAAAAGAAAAGAAAATTGAGACCTCACTGGTGATTACCCAGAGGCATGTTCAAAAGTGACTTTTACATGGGTGAGGCCCTTAAATGTAGCTTCATGGCCTGGAGTGAGTGAAATGGTTCGATAATGGGACGTCACAGGTAAAAACTCAGAGGCTAGGCTAAGACAGGCCTCCCCAGAGTGTGACTCTTAAACCTAGATTAATATCCAGATACAGAGACTTCCTGATTAAATATCTGGAATGACTTAGACTAATGTCCAGGTTTTGCTTGCAAGTCTCTTAAATGAATATTCCCATTTTTTTTTTTTTGGCTTTTTGGGTCACACCCGGCAATGGTCAGGGATTACTCCTGGCTCTGCACTCAGGAATTACTCCTGCCGGTGCTCAGATGGGATGTGGGAATCGAACCTGGGTCAGCCACATGCAAGGCAAATGCCCTACCCGCTGTGCTATCGCTCCAGCCCCATATTCCCAATTCTTTCATCCGGCAGCTGAATTAATTTTCAATTCCTAGAGGAGTCCAGTGTGGTGCAAGCAGTCGAGTACAGTTTGGCAGTGTGGAGGCCGTGGGCCTATTTCTCGTTCTTCTCCCATGCTGCCAGGATTGATTGGTATGGATTACCTGGATGAACAGAACAGGGAGTAACCCCAGTAGTTAAAAATATACTCCTGGGATGAAGAGATAGTAGAGGGGCTTAGGCATTTGCCTGCGTCACACTGACCCAGGTTAGAATTCCCATCTCTGTAATTCTCAGCTGTGTGGGTCACTCCCCTTGTGTTGCCTTTGCCCTTTGTTGTTTCCTTGCTCTGTATCTTCATGTTCCACTTACGAGAGAGATCATTCTGTGTCTCTCCCTTTCCTGCTGCCACTTAGAATGATGACCTCTAGTTCCATCTACATTGCTGAAAATTGCATGATTTTGTTCTTTCTTAAGGCAGCATAGTACCGCATTGCATACACGTGCCACAACCTCTTGACCCATGCACCCATAGTTAGACCTGTAGAGTGTTAGCATATTTTGGCTAGTATCTGCTGTGATCAACATAAGTTGTGCCTTTTGGACTAATATGATGAAAGTAAGGTGTGCCTATTTGGATTAATGTTTTTGTGTTTGGGGATAGATGCCAAGAAGTCATATTGCTGAACTATGTATGGGGGTTCAATTCTTTCTTTCTTTTTTTTTGAGAAATCTCTGTTTTCTATAGAGGTTGAATCAGATGATGTTCCAACCAACAGTGGATGAAGGTTCATTCCTGCCGACACTAGCTGTTTTCAAACTTTTTGACATACACCATTCTCATTTACAAGATGTTGTATCTCAGTGCTGTTTTACTTGCGTTTCCCCAGTTATGAGTGACAATGAGCACTTTCTGTTGGCCATCTATGTCTTTCTTGGGAACATGTCTGTTCATCTCCTTGTCCTAGTTGTGGATGAGATTGTTGGATTTTTCTTATTGACTTTTGTGTGTGAGAAAACATAAAATACAATTCCAGTGTATTGGTCACAGTTTTATTTGCCCATTCTGTACAGTAGGACATCTTGATTGCTTTCAAGCTGTTGCACTTACGCATGTAAAATATCTGTATACAGGTCCTGTTTGATATTGTAGAGTTATATAAAACGGTACTGTTGTTGGGTTGTTTGCTTAAATATGTTTAGTTTTGTAAGAAAATGCCAACATTACCATTTTGTATTCCCACAAACAGTGACTGGGAGTTCTGTTCCTCTGGTTGTGTTTGATGTTGATACTATTCTGGATTCTGGCTATTCTAAAGAGAAGGCAGTGGAGTTGGAGTGATAGCACAGTGGGTAGGGTGTTTGCCTTGCACGTGGCTGAGCTGGCTTTGATTCCTGGTATCCCATATGGTCCCCAGAGCACCGCCAGGAGTAATTCCTGAGTGCAGAGCCAGGAGTAACCCCTGAGCATTCCGAATGTGACCCCAAAAAGATAAAAATAAATAAATATAAAATGAAGGTAGTGTTTATTGTTGTTTTAATTTTTATTTCCTTGATACTATATAATATGTTACTTTTTTATGTTTATTATCTGTGTGTTTTTGTTGAAGTGTTTATTAGGGTCTTCGTCTTTTTTGTTTTGTTTTTTGTTCTTTATCAGATATATATTTTGTATATCTCTCTCCAAACTATGACTTATATTCTGATTTTCTTTTTTAAAATTTATTTTTTTCATTAATTACAAGGTTACAAAGGTATTTGTGATGGAGTTTTAGGATATGTTTTAATGTTCCAACACTAATCCCTTCACCATTGTCAATTATCGTCCACCAGTGTTTACAGTTTCCCTCCTATCCCAGGAGCCTGCC